AGACCACAGCCCAGGGAAGGTTAGGCTTTGATGACAATGCTTTACGCAGGATGCCCGACGTCCCCATCCCTGCCCATTCTGGCCAATGGCGCACCACTGTATGGGTAGAGTGATAGAGGCTGCTGTGCAACGTGCATGAAGATGAGCGATGCATATTCACATATGTACGGCGTTCTGTACTGAAGCTAGCTGGAGGAACATTTTAAAACACAGTTCAATCCACTAATAGCGAGCGATCTGATGGTTTTGTACCACAGATATACAGCGGTTCACTGTACGAAAAAAGTCTCAAAAGTGTCCCCAAAACTTCTCACTCCATCGCCCCCATATGCCTCCCCTTCCATTCCTTCACCCCCCCTTAAAAACAAAATCACCCAGGTTAAGAACCCCTGGACTAGATGACCTCCAAGGTCCCTTCCAACTCTGTTAATCTAATCGAGTCCAACTCTCTGGCCAAGCAGGAGACCCTCGATCATTCTGGACAAATGGCTGCATTACAAAATCTCTATACCGGGGACCAGGAGGCTGGCCTGATTTAAATTAGCCTCTTGCTACAAGTTTCCAATCTTTTTTATTATTATTATTATTATTATTACTTAATCCTGGGAACAAGGACCTCTTTTGAAGGGGGAAAGAAATGTCCAAACACAAAGAGGGGACATTTGACACGGTACATTTGCAGAAAGTAAATAGATTGGTTCACGCTGTTTCCAGAGTTTTCATCCAGAAGGCTTAACTGCCTTCTGAGAACTCATGTTCTCAGCCCATCAGTCCATAAAGTATCGGGATGTCCTATTTTTACATCTTAACTCTCAACGGGTGATATCTGGCTGTTTGCCAGCCAAGCCCTGGTAGGTTTTTGGTGATTAATGAGACGAGGCGAAGGGGCCTTGAGGTTTGATCAGATGCAGATACAGATGAAGAGAGTTGGAAGGGACCTTGGAGGTCATCGCTGGCTGGGGAATTCTGGGAGTTGAAGTCCGGACATCTTCAAGTTGCCAAGTTTGGGAAACACTGACTTAAAGGATCTTTGGAAATCTATTGGAAGCCAATGAAGTGTCCAGAGTGGAGACGTTATGCTGGGTCACACCCGTCAATGTGTGGACACCAACTGAAGTTTCCAGATCATCTCCAAGGACAGACTCAAGAAGACCCAGGAGCTGGGAATTTTCCCAGAAGGTTCTCCTTTGATTCCTTCAGCTCTTAATGAGGGTCTTCTGGTCCCATTGTGGCCTTTTCTCTCTCCCTCTCTCCCTCTCTCTCCCTCCCTCCCTCCCTCCCTCTCTCTGTCTCTCACCTTCTATATTTCTGCTCTCTTCTAGTTCTGTCCCATATTTCAAGTCTGGTTCGACATCATCAATCTGCAACTCCAGATTCTCAACAGTAAGTTTTCTTTGCCTGCATAGAGGGCACCTCGGGACCCTTGGGGGAATGTGACACTGAAGGGTCCTTGGTGGTCTCTGAGCTTGGTGGTTTTCTTGCAGGCGTTTCATGACCCAACTAGGGAACATCATCAGTATTGAAAGGGAGCGGGGTATGTGAAGAGGAGGAGGAGGAGGAAAAAGGGGAAGGAGAAGGAAGAGGGGGAGGACTGTAGTATGCTTGGCACTCTCTGAGCTTGAATGTTCTTCTTGCAGACATTTCATTACCATACTAGGAAACAATATCAATTGTTAGAAGGGAGTGCGGTTTGCAGAAAGGAGGGGAAAGAAGAAAGGATGGATGGATGAGATGGAAGGAAGGAGGGAGGGAGGGAGGAAAAGGAAGAGAAGGAGGAGGACTGTGGGGTCCTTGGTGCCCCCTGAGCTTGGGCTGTTCTTGCAAACTTTTCATTACCAAACCAGGGAACACGATCAGCATTGGAAGGATCAGCATTCATGGCCCAACTAGGTAACATCATCAGTGCTAGGAGGGGGTGAGGTTTGCAGAGAGGAGGAGGAGGAGGACTATGGAGTCCTTGGTGCTCTCTGAGCTTGGTGGTTTTCTTGCAGATGTTTCATGACCCAACTAGGTAACGTCATCAGTGCTAGAAGGGAGTGGAGTTTAGTGGGGCGGGGAGGACTGTAGGGTCCTTGGTGCTCTCTGAGCTGGGCTGTTCTTGCAAACTTTTCATTACCAAACCAGGGAACACGATCAGCATTGGAAGGAAGTGGGGTGTGCAGAGAGGAGGAGTGGGGACAGTTATGGGGTCCTTGACCCATCTGCCCCCCCAGTTGGAAAGGGAAGGCAGAAATAACACAACGACACAACAGCAACCGAGATGGAAGGGGCCTTGGAGGTCTGAGGGAGCTGGATCTCCCATCCCGTGTAGGGCAAAAAGTGGGTGGAGAGCCACGGCTGCCCCCTTCTCTTCAGTGGGGCGGGACAAGAGAAGGCGGCACAGGGAGACAAAGGGAAGGAATAGGGGGCCCCACATTTAACCGTCTCCTTTGACCCCCACCCCCATTGCTTTCCCCCCTTCAGAATACTTCACCTTTGGGCTCTTGGGCAAAATCCACACCGCCCTCTCCACCATGCCGATCTCATCCGGGTATTTCTCTGAGCTGGATTTGAAGGTGGGTCACGAATCGGTGGGCTCTTCCTCTTGGTCCTTAGGGGCTCCCCACCCCTCTCCCCACTGACGTCCCCCCCACCCCTGGCTGAGAATCAAGCGCAATACTTATGCAGGACAAAGAAAANCCCCCCCCCTCCACTTGGAAGCTGGGGGCTGGTCCCCTCTCCTCTCCAGGGGAGCCGAAACGCCACTCAGCTCCTCACTAAATGATCCTCCGGTTTCCTTTTCTCCGCAGCCCGATTTCCTTGCTGGTCAGCAACGTGGTCAACTTGTCCATTCAGAACACCCTGCCTGGAATGGTGAGTGACCAAATAGCCCACCCACCCCGGAGGGGGAGGGGGAAGCTGGAAGAATAGGTTGCAACCCGCCTGCAGTCGTCTTCCGGCTGACCTTCTCCTCCAACCTAGAGATCTGGAAGAATCACAGAACAGAGAATCCTAGGGGCTGGGAGGGGACCTTGAAGGTCATCTAGTCCAACCCCCTGCTTGAACAGAGAGGCCTACTATACCAGTGGCTCTCAACCTGTGGTCCATTTGTGTCATCCCAGGAAAGCTTGAAGAAATATTGGGATTTAAATCTTAAGTCTTGAAGAAAAGGTTGAGGGTCGTCTGCCTTATACCATTCAGAATAACAGGACGCAGGGAGTCCTCGGCCTAACGACCACAGCTGAGCCCAAAATGTCTGTTGCAAAGAGAGAGAGAGAGGGTTGTTAAGCAAATTTTGCCCTGTTTTTACAACCTTTCTTACCACCGTTGCTAACTGAATCACTGCCGTTGTTAAACTACTACCATGGTCATTAAGTGAATCTGGCTTCCCCCCATTGACATTGCTGGTCAGAAGGTCACTAAAGGGATTTTGTGACCCCCCCCCCCGGGACACTGCAACCATCATAAATGCGAGTCAGTTGCCAAGTGTCGAAAATGGTCACAAGTCACCTTTTTCAGTGCTGTTGGCACTTCAGTCAAGGACCCTCTGTACATGCCAATCGCCAAACACACAAATTTTGATCACGTGAGCACGAGAACGATGTCGTAAGTCAGGAAAACAGTCCTAAGTCATTTTTTTTCACAGCTGCTGTGACTTCGAATGGTCACTAAATGAACTGTTGTAGGTCGAGGATTACTTGTAACAGAGTTGGGAGGGGCTTTGGGGGTCTTCTAGCGCCACAGTCCGCAAAAAGTATGGCGGCCCAAGAACTATTAAGGGAGGAGCTGCCTTCACCCTCTTTCCCCCGCACAATCTAAACTGGGCCGCTTCCTCCTCCTCCGGAATGCAGCCCCTCCCTCCCGGGAATCCAGACTACATTCCACACCACCTCATCAGATCTCCCAACTTTAAAAGAGTAGCAGAATAACAGAATCGGAAAGGACTTTGCGGGGGGTGATAGAGGCCGCTGCACAACGCGCATGAAGATGAGCGATGCATATTCACATATGTACGGCGTTCTGTACTGAAGCTAGCTGGAGGAACATTTTAAAACACNCCGGCTATTACCGGGCAGGGCAAGGGTAAGTGCCTCCCTTCCTCCTCCCCCCCCTTGTGTTTCCGTGGGACAGTTGTGAGAGAGCAGGGAGTGGTGCAGTGGCCTAGAATTCGATCTCTCATCTCACAATTCAATCAAAGGTAGAGGATCAGGGGGGTGGGGTATCCCTTTATTTTCCCTACTGGTTCTCAAACGGGAGGGCAGGTGCTCGTCCGTCCGCGCTTGGCTTGAAAACGTCCCTCAATAGGACGGCTACTCGCGGCTACTCGCGGCTACCCGCGATTTCCACTACCGGTTTGGCTGAACCGATCCAAACCGGCTGAACACCACCTCAGTACAGGAGGCGTTTTTCTCTCTCTGGGCACAACGAGAATATATCTGCTGTGAACTCCCCATTGGTGACAGGAAGGGCATCCAGCCAGTAAACACTCTGCTCCATTCCGCTGCCCTGATTCCACCCCGAAGCAAGGAATTAGGGGGGGTCGTTAAATGAAAAAGGGGGAAAATAGTTGTGAGAGAGCAGGCCGCTTGTGATGACAGAGGGATTCTGGGCTGGTTGCTCGTTTAACTCCACCTCCAGTTTCTGCCGAACCTTCTCCACTAAGACACCCCCCCCAGGTCCATTCAAGGGTCCTGTTCGGACCTTTGTGGTCCCCCCAAAAAGCAGCAGGCAGATTCCTGGTCCTGACAAAACTCCTTTTACTAAACGAATGTGAATTCCTCTCCTTCACATTCAGCAAAAGTCTTTCAAAGGAGTATTTATGACCACAGACCTCATCTATCTTGGAAAGCTGCCATGGAACAATTTTCCAAAGGAGGCGCTGTGCAAGGAAAGGCTGGGCACAGAGTCTCTGAGATTCACGGACAGATCTACACACTCCTGAAACGAATCTAATGGCCAGACGGACGAATTGTCTCCTGCAAAATCCCTCTCTCTTTTCCCTCCTCTTTGATGTCCTGTGGGAGGGGCCATTCACCGTCCACCTGCGGCTTTACTCCCGTCGACCGTGATTTCTGAGTTGTTCTTCTGGCAGCTCTGCGCATGCGCACCCTGGGAACAGGCTCCACCTGTTCTTCTGCCTCACTGATATCCGACTCTGAAGGCAGCTGAGAACTGTCAGATGGCCCTGGCCCCCTCTCTGCCTCCGACACAGAGCCCCCATCAGAGCCTTCCCCAGACTCCAGGACCGGCCCAGGTTCCTCCCCAACCTCCTCACTGTCCGAACTGCGGCCAGCTCTGCCGGCCCACGTTTGATTCATGCCTTCCCACCCTCCAGGCACTGTGTCTCAGGACTGGGGTTCGCCAAGGAAAACTATTTCGCGGCCCCCCCAGAAGAGGACGAAGAGAACCTGTTGTCTCCGGAAGCCTGCTATGAATGCAAGATCAACGGATACCCCAAGAGGGGTCGGCAGCGGCGCAGCGTCAACGGCACCCAGGCCCACCAGGTAGGCCCTCAGACCAGAGGGGGGGACCCCCTCTCATCCAAAAACATGGGGGCTGCTTTCAAAAGGTTCCCCCCCCCCAAAAAAAAAAATCTTAGGAATAACACATTTCCTGGTGTGTCTCAGTCAATTATTATTCTTGCGGTTATATTTTCTCTCCAGCCGTTTTCTACAACGTTGCTCACATCATTCGGGCAGCCCCCTTGGAGGGTCAGGAAACTCAGGGGGGCAGTGAATGAAAAAACCCCTCCCCTTTTTTAACATGCATACAGCACCCCCATAAAAAGAGGGCGGGGCTTTGACCGCGGAGTGGGGAGGGGGGCACCGTTTCGATCCTTTTTTTTTTACCTCCCCGGGAATGGCTAGCTGCATTTTTCCATGGGGTGGATTTAATTTCTCCTTCCACTTTCCCAGAGAGGCGACTTCTCAGCTTAAAGTCCTGAAATGAAACTTCCACTTTCCCAG